TTGATTTTATGCAGCAAAGGAAAAAAGAAACCAGGGCAAGAAAGAAACTGCTTTCTGCCAAAGCAGCCTCTAGGGAATCCCAGTGCTGCTGGCCGGGGCTGGTCAGCGGGAAATGGGGGCTGAAAGGCTGCCATGGGATGTCCTGCATGGGGGAGGTGGAGATGCAAGGGTGCCTTGAGGTGCCCCTCGGGAAGCCCTCCGCTCCTGTGACCTCTGACACTTGCATGAATCAGAGTGCTGTTATCAGTTTCACTATATCTGGTCTTCCCAAGGCTTTTGAAGCAAAAAAACTTGGCACGCCACGGGCTGCAGGTATTTACCAGGTGCCCAAATCCATGCTGTTTGCCAGCAGCTTAGCCGAGCCCCTTGTAGCAGGGGTGAAGCCAGAAGTACCAAACCCAGCTCCTGCTTTTGGATCCAAGGAAGGGTGGTTTGGGAGTGAGAGCTGCAGGCTGGGACACAGGAAAACTGGGTTGTATTCCTGATCTGCTGGAGAATACGCCCGTATCCTTGGACAAATTGCTTAATCTCTCTATGCCTTAGTTTCCTGTTAGCAAATGATACTCCTTATCTTTCACCTCTCATCTCAGTAGAGGAAAGAGTTTGTCTTTTAGTATGTATTTTATTACAGTTCTTTGTCCGGTGGCTGGGGCCCCTCTACCTTGATAAAATAAATAATTGAATTTAGATTAAATGGTCTAACGTAATCCTGCCCAGTGGTTACTAAAACACTTGAATGAAAGTTCATTCTGAGCCTGCCTTTCCATTTCCTCATAAGGCCAAGACATGAAGTAATAAGATGTAGACATAGGTTGTTATTGTAGCAAAATGACAAAGATCAGTGGTTATTGGTAGGAATGGCTTTTATAATCTAGTTTAATGGTCATTTACCTTTCAGTGACCTTGGTGTCAGGCAAAATTGGCAGCTCTTTTGCAAGGAATGTGCTTCCTCAATGGGGGCTTTGCAAGCTGCTGCATTTTTGGCTCTAGCTTCACATGAACTAGGATAGACACTGCTGCAATGCAAGAGACTTTGTCTGCAAAGAAAGGCCATAGACTCCTGCCAAAAGAAGCCCTTTTCAGTGCTGTCCTGCTGCCACTGAATTGCCGTTGGAACAGATTAGTTGTGTTTCAAGCAATGCTTTGCTCATTGCTGCAACTAAAGTTTCAACCTTCAGAGAGAGTCTACTCTGGTCAGAGGGCTGCCCAGGAGTTTCTGTAAAAAGGCTTGCATTGTCTTGGAGTAAAAGGAGGGAGAACATCTCTCATCCTCCACTTAAGTGCATGCAAGAGGAGCTGGTAGTTCTGGTTGTAACCCCCATTAAGTCCTTACTACATCAGTAAAGACATGATATTTCTATACACTTTAAAGTTCAGTCCTTTCAGTGATGATCATCCACTCATTGCAGATGCAAATCAGCCAAGCTTTCTATTGACTATGATGTTTCTACACCACTCTCCTTCACATGTTGCAAAATCCTTATGGTTTTATCCAGTGAGTGATACCTGTGGCCATGGAGAAGAGCAGCATGATCTGAGCTGTGCTGCAGTATCTAATGGTACCCCATATGTGTGGCCATGCTTTGTAAGGAGATGGAGTAGGTCATATCCTGGGGCTTGGGATGGCCGGATTCAGTAGAGGTATTCAGTGACCTTGGCTAAGTCTTTTAATTCTTCTGGGCCAATCTTAACCTTAGAGGTAATCTCCTGTTTTCTATAAAGTAGGCTGAATTTTTGTAAGTGCTATGCAAGTATTTATTTGAGATGGTGCCAGAAAGATTATTTGAGTCACATTATAATTGGGGTTTCACGAAGAAGTGCTACAAGAGTCGAGAAGAGTAATGTAGCTGTGGAAGGACGTTTCTCAAAAGCATCTCTGAGAATTGCACTGCCTTGTGACTTGGGCTTCTATCTACTTCTGATCTCTCATCCTGCTGCTCACAGCCATTTGATTTTGCAAACGAGTTCCTTGCACCTGTAACTATTGCCCTGCAGAGAAGGCCTAGCTACAGGAATCATCTCTTTACGTGCTCTCATTTCTAAACTGCTAAGATAAGGACAGCAAAACAATGTAGCTTGGAGGGAGAGCCATTTGTTTCAGGCTGCTTTGTATAACCACCAACCTTGGTTTGCCATAAGCATGTTCAATACATCACTACAGTGTGATAGGTCTTTAGCTGAGATCAAGCAGTAGTTTCCAGTGTTCAAAATCCTGAGGTGGTTTGACGTGCATGGGCTCTCAACTGTTTTTAGTCCTATTCACCTGCTGGGACCTGCTGCGATTCTTGCTTGCACAGAGGATCTTATAGACCCCCATCGTATTAACTCTTCTTACGTCTCACATTCATCACTCCAATAAGTATTAGCTTGTTCTTCTGATACGAGAGAATGAATGGCCACATTCATTTTAATGGCAGTTTATTTTTGCAGGTATCAGGTTTGGATTGGGAATGTCCAGCTGAGATCAAAGACATGCTTGCGTGGAAGCAGATGGTTTATATGCTGCTTCTTGCTGAAGAAGAGCAAAATGAATCTCTGTTGAGCCCCTGAAGTCCGAACCCATTGAAGTCTGACAGAGTCTTTCCACTGACCTCAGTGGCCCCAGGATCGCGTCCTAAATGAGTTGCTTTGAGTCACTAGAAGCCTGAATTCAGCTTTGGTGGGCTGGAAAATGTAACCTACTGTATGGGCTGCGCTATTCATAAGAGCTGGGCCCTGTCTGTGTGCTAGCTGTGGATGCCTGGGAGAAGAATAAAGTCATTTTCTGCAGTCTTGGGGGTGGAAGAAGGAATGGGAATTATACCCCCTTCCCTGCAAACGCGGTATCGTGACTTCCTTGCAGGCAGCTGTTGGGAGCTGACCCGCTTTGGAAGCTTCAGATTAGGTATTTTTTGTGCTGTGTTTCTTCTGATACCATCCCTGACACATAACTGTCCTGTTCGCTAGGACGAACTAAGAGGAACATATATTTAGGCCTGACCAGAAGGAACTGACCTCAATTTAAATTTTCTGAAGTGGGCCACTGAAGCAGATGAGCGAGTATAGCAAGGCTATGATTTACGCTGGTGGAGTTTCCTTAAACTTAGAAGAAGCAGGGTCCTTGAAGTTTGAGAGAAGCTGGTTATGAGTGTGTTTGACACCAAATGCTCACAGTTCATTGTTTCATTATATCAGTGACATCTAATATTGTTGTCACAAAACACTACCTGTTTCCTTACGGTTTATGAAAAATGCTGTTGTTTCTTGAAGTGATTCTTGCTTTCTCTGGATTGCAGTGGCTTATAGCTGGGCAAAACAGCAGCTAGCAAAAACATTCAAGCTAACACAGCATGATACAGGCACTTTCCATTCCCTACTGGTCCTAAATCAGACCAGAAGAGAATTAATTGGGTGTAGGGGGTATAAAATGAAGTGTAAAGAACTACCAGTTGGTAGTCTCCTCTGGAGCCATTATTGATTGATCTGGAGTCATTAGACTGTTTTACAATCAAGCTAGTGAAGATTAATACAGTTTGAGAGCAGTAGCATGTTTTGCAATTAATGGCTAGCACCATAAACCTTTACAGTGTAATTTATGCTTTATTTATTAATATTCTAACATGTATTCACCCAAGGAAGGGTCACCTGGTGGCTAAAGATGGGGGAGTAAGAAGGTGATGGTGCTCTCCTGGTTTTACACAAATGTTCTTTGTGCCCTTGGAGGTGGTAGCACTTAAACTAGATATGCTTCAGATGTTTTGACCTATGAAACCAAAATATTAACACTTTTCTAGTTTATTGGTGTGTGCTGTGACTCACAGGGGTACCATGGGAACACACAGCATGGAAATGCTGTAAGTAAAGGGAATGGAGCATTGCCCCAGTTAAATTATCCGTATGTCACGTTCCTTAGTGGTGTGCTGAGGAGTCACAGCCTGGTTTGCAGCCTGGCGGTGGCAAACCCAAGCTTCGCTGCCCATCTTCCCCACTGCTCCTTAGCTTCAGGGACCGATGGAGTGGGTTAGCGGGGGAGCTTCCAAAGGGGAGGAACGGCCCCAGCTGGGTTTTCTGTGCTTTTCCCATACGCCGTCATTCTTGCACAGCGCTTCCTCTCTCCACGTAATACTCTGTTATTTCCTCCCTGGAACAAGCTCCTGCCACTGCTGCTAATTAGCCCACGATAAACTTCGGCGTGAACAAAAGCAAGCAAGCAAACGCCTGTTGCTTCAGCATGAGCCCTGTCAGAGAAGTGATTTGTCAGTGGCAGAGCTGAGTAGCACCTCCTCAGAAGGAAAACAAACCTATTAGCCTGGCTGAGCCGTCAGTGCTGGGGAGCAGTTTGTCCGAGTTGCGTGTTGTGGGTATGCAGGGATGTCTTTGTAACGGCAGGCTTTCCTGAGGGTCTCTGAGATGCTGCTCAATCTTGGGTCTTCAGTTCCACGTGGTGCAATGATCTCTCTAGTCACCACCCAAGCAACACGGCTTGAGAAGTTACTGAATTATGTATGTGCCTTTTTTTTTTTTTTTGCCTTTTGGGGGGACACGGACATAAATGTTTTCAAATCATTACAGATAGAGAAATAAGGAGGAGGCTTGGAAAGAGGAACCAGAAAGCAGTCTTTGGTAGATCCAAATCCACATGAGGTTTGAGTGATGTTTGATGGGACTCAAGATTCAAGTGTCACGGTCTTGCTAGCTGCTTTTGTGTAATCTCAGCCCTAATGCTCAAAATCCCTCTAGTCTTCTCCCTCTTTGAGCAAAAAGTCCTATAGGAAGAAGAATAGATATTTACATGGGATTTTACTGGTGTTATGAACAGACTAAGGGAAGTTGGAGCCTTTTTGGTTTTAGGACCTACTTTCTTCTCAAAACTAGAGGAAGGGTTCAAGCTGGAAAACTGAACATGAATTATTCCTGGGCAGAAAAACGCAGAGGATCTTGGAAAATTCAGAATTAATGTATGTCCTCTTTTGAAATGCCCCCAACTGCTTTGCCAACAGTTGTCTCTTTTGCTGTTGTAGCTCTCGAGCAGCTGCTCACAGAACTTGAAGATTTTCTGAGGATACTGGACAAGGAGAACTTGAGCAGCACTGCCGTTGTGAAGAAAAGCTTCCTCTCCGACCTTCTGCGGGTCTACACCAAGTCCAGTGGTATGGGCAAGGAAAACAAGGATGAGGAAGTGGGCTCTCGTGGGAACTGCTACGGGGACTTGAAGCAACATTTTTTTGGAGGCTGGTGGGAAGGGGAGACATGAAAATTAGAAGGAGAAACTGAAACGAGGATTATTTTTGCAGTGACCTCTAATTGTTTATGTAAAATTACTACAGTTATGTGTCCAGCTTTACAAACAAAGGATTCCCAAGATTCCTGATACTTTCTGTTTTCCTTATTAAACCTTAAGTTTATTTAATCCACTTTGTAAGATACACAGGATGTACTGTTTGGCCAAGTTAATGTTTAAGTAGAAATTTTAACTTATGGAATTTCCTGACTATAAAGCATTTAACTTTTCTACTTTTTATTATTGCTTGGGTTTTTTTCTGCACATTGCCTCAACCAATACGCTCTCCCCAAAATGTACTCAGCAGAGACACTTTTTACATCTGTCTTCGTGGAAAACCTTAGCAATGTGAAAGCAGCAGGTGGGTAAAGAGTTCACTTTTCCCTCTGGTTGCAGGTGGCGATGAGGAATATATTTATATGAACAAAGTGACCATCCATAAACAGCAGGGTGACCAGGAGAAACAAGACAAAGGTAGGGAGCTGAAGATTAATGGTTGCCTCATATCTAACAGGGCAGTGAAGGCACATGTGGTTAGGTCCTTGCTTTACTGGGACCGGTGGAGGCCCCTGTGGCAGCTCTGAGGGACGAGGCAGTTGATGGTGGAAGGACTGCCATTTTCATTACATTCCTTTGGAAATCATGGTCCTTGCCAACACTGTGAGGTTATTCCTGGAAGTAGCACTTTGGAGGGCATTATTTTGGGATAAAAACGTTGCCTTCTAAGGCTTGCAGCTCCAGTGCCTCAAATATTTAAGGAAGCCCTCATGTTTCCTTTGGCCACGAAACATGTCACTTCACCTCTTTGAGGCCTTGAAAGCATGTGTCTTCTTTAGCGTGTTGCTCTCTGTACTAGCCCAGAGAGTCTGTGTTGTCACAACCTTGCGAGGTGAGTTCCCAGGCGCAGCCTGCACCCTCGCCTTCTGCGCGGGCAGAGCGCCTTCATCTCCCGGGGGATGCAAGAGTTTTGCGGTGTACAAGCCAAGAAATTAAACCTGGATAAAATATTCATTTCCAATTTGATTTCCCAGATTTTGAATTTTTAATATGGGAAAGAAAATAATTCTCTATAAACGTTCTTGCTCTTTGAAGTTCATCACAAGGGCTGTTTTTGATGATTGCATAGAGTGAGATTATTACTGACACACGTCTTAATGCACATGTAGTCGGAGGCTGACCCTACCCTACAGTTTCCGATCCAAATAGATGAAACAGAGGACGCATCAGTGCAGCCTGCTGTTGACATGCTGGTCCTGCAATAGTTGGGATAGCTCTGTTTCCAGAGTTGTTTGTTTTGGTTTTATTGTTTTGTGGTGGGTTTTTTTGTTTGTTTTGTTTTTGTTTTTTTTTTTTAAACTACCTGCAGCTGAATTTAGGTTAACTTCAAATATCCCTGAAGACAGGATGTCCTCCCAGATTACGCGTGCAGCCCCGATGTGATCTCCGGACGGGGCCCTCTGGGTGATGCTGTAATGCTCCATAACAGGATTGCACAGCCTCCCGGTAGCTCTGGGCAGCTGAGCAGTGACAGAAGCATCTCTTTATATAAGTTCTTATTTGGGTGGATAAAACAAGACTTGCACTGATCCACCATGCTGAAACAAGGGGGTAAATTTCAGACAATTTATTTTTAGAGTTCGTTCTCTTATTTCAGACTTCTCCCTATCAAGGCCATGAGCCTACCCACTCAGTCACTCCCTGTGGGACCTGGCACTTCTCTCTTTCTCTGTTTTCAACAACCTCCCTATTCCAAGTAAAACTTCTGAGTTATTTGGAAATGCTGAAGTCAGTAAGACACATGTATGGGATCTTAGCCATAGCTGCAGCTGGGTGTACAGCCCTGATCCTGCCTCTGTAACGGCACGGAGAGGTCTGTGCCTGCCTGAAGAGGTCAGAAGTGGGATCTGCAGGTTCAGATTTAGCAGATGGAGGCGGCCCTAGTACCCACTGGAGCTAGGGGATGTGATATGGATCCCCCAGTGATTATGCAGCTCCCTTTACCCATTTTATCCACTGCTGCTCTGTGCACTTTGTTTCACTGAAATCCTTTGGTGGGATGTGGTGACCACACTTTTGTGACTGAGGTCAATGGGACCTCTCATGCCCTGCGGGGTTTCTTCATCACTGTAGCTGTGCTCGAATATGCTCTAGCAGTGCAGGGTGAAATGCTTTCCGAAGTGATAATACATCTGCTCCGAAAGTCTCCCCTCCGAACCTTAAAACATGCTGTTTCTGCAAAAACCGTATTTCACTGCTCACGGTATCTACTTCCAATTCCACCAGTAAGGATTTAAGCTGAACAGTGCGCTGCTTTTGAGATGCCTTTTTATCGCACAGTAATTGAATTCACTGCAGTGAGTGATGAAGGCACTACCATTTACTTGATCTCAGTTACTTGAGAAACACAGCAAGTCTCTGCCGTGCAAGTCCATGGGGCTCTTCAGTGAGCTGAAGGTATCTCCTTCTGGAAGTCAGCACAGAGGGATCGACGTGCAGGTGGCTGGGAGGTGGAGCTGATGTGCAGTGTAGGGCTCCTGGTGGTGCACACTGTGGCCCTCTTAGCCCAAATACCAAGAGAGATCCACTTTTACAAAGACCAGAGAGCACAAATAACAGTTCGTACAGATGTGAATTTTAGCAGGCTTTTTGCCTGGTTTTTCTTCCTTCCCTCTTCTAAATTCTCTCCAAATTCCAGGTTTTAGAGAGACATCTTTATCAGAAGACACCTGCAAAGTGTTAACACTTGTCTAGGAAAAAATACTCCTTCCCTCCCACCCCAGTAAGGAAACAGTCTGTGATTAGTGGTGCTGATGTGTGTAGCAGGAGAATGAAGGGGTATGTACAGCACATGCTGCGTGGACTCTCCACGCAGAAAGCATGCATTAGGTGCTTGTCTCCACATGCTGGGCACAGCGATAGCTGCTCTGTGCAACCTCAGAACAGAAAACCTCATAACATCTCCCAGGAGTCTTGCCAGGATGAAGGTTAAAGGGATGGTTCTTCCTGCACAAAGCCTGAAAATCAAAGCTCCATCACATCCTGCTCTGCTCCTCAGCTGGAGTACATGGGCACGTGTCTGTGGAGGTGGGCAAGTTTCCAGCAGGGTGAGGACTGAGACTGTGGTCTCCATCCCATGCTCCAAGGTTGGTGGGAGGAGGAACTGCTGGTACAGAAACCAAACAGCATTTTCCTGGCACAGTGAGGTTCAGTGGGATGATTGCTAGGTTTGCCGGAGAGTCGAGAACAGATGGCCACCACTTGCAAAGGGTTTGGCAGTGGTTTTTGCTGCTGCAATGATTTCTTTTCTATGGAGCTGAGCATGGGAGGTTCTGCCTGGCGCAGGAGGATGCGAGTTGGCCTGTCCATTTCTCTCTGCTAAAAAGCCCCTAAAAAGTTCCCTGTGTGGACAACTGTGAGTGTGGAAATAATCCCCTCTTGGGTAGTAGCCCACTGGGGCTTTAGGAAATCTCAAACTTGTTTCTGGTGTTTCCAAAAGCAGCAATGGCCTCAGCAGCTGCTGTTGATGGAAGGTGTCTGCCCTGAGAGCGCCATCTCCTTGGTCCTTTACAGAAAAGGCCAACCTCCAACAGCAGCCTGTAGATATGACTCTGGCAGTATAATCATGGGGTATTTTGGTAGGTGGATCTCCCCATGATCAGTCTGTGTCATAGGCTCACCTGCTTTACTCTGTTTGAACCTTACAAGACATCCAGCAGCCCTACTTGCAAGGTACAAACAGCTGTTTGGAGATGGTGTCTATTGATCCATGGGTCTCTGTGTCCTCCTGGCTTACTGAAGTTAGCCAGTGCTGATGACCAGGAGACCTGTGTCACAGGGAGCAATTTCTCACAAGAGATGTGTTTTGAGCTCTTGCACCATCAGGCCAGGAGCTGGCTGCAGCCTGGCAGGGCAGAGCTGTCATCGTGGCTTCCGAGCCCCAGACATGAACAAAGTAATGTGGTTTCCAACTTCTATTTTTAAAGCCCAGAAATATGCAGCAAAGTTCCTGCCCGCATCTTCCGAGCGCAATGCTAACCACTGCTGGACGCTATGCAATGCCTTGGTGGTTTCTGTGTGCGTCTGAGGAATGTGGCTGGAGCATCAGCAGGTGACTAAGGGAGTTAGAGCATCAGCTCGCTGCAGATTTTGGACCTAATTCCCTTTTAATTTACTGGACTTGCTATATCTGAATACCTTAGCCTCATTTCTCCTGAAGTATTTGGCAAGAGACGCTCTGTAAAAGGGGACTGGCCCACTGCACAGTGTAACGCCTTCAAAGGCCTTCATTTTTCAGCCATTTGGTGCCTTGCTCCCACTTGTTCCTGAGCGTTGCTGCATTGCACTATCTCGGAGGTCGTGGGATTTGGGCACTTGTTCGAGGCCACCCAGGAGTTCTGTGGTGGGGGAAGAGGGACTGAACACAAGTTTTCTGAGCCTCCGATGTACCCTCCAGCTACTGAATCACTCTGCATTCAGCTGCTTGGAAAATCTGACTTTCCAGAGGCAGATGCAGATCGCCTGGAGCAGTTCTGCTGCCATATGCCCTTTCACATGTTTGGCCTGGGCTGCTTCAAGAGCAACTCTTCCTTCAGTAGTGATTAAATTACTGTTTTTGGCTGGCTTTGATAAACCATTGTGCAGCCCAGCTAGGCAGCAACCTTTGCAATTTGCTCTGGGAAGCAGGGTGGTATTAGGTCCAGTTTTCTGGAAAGGCAGCAGAGGTGGGGACAGTCACCGATCTGTCAGCTCACAGCAGCAGGGATCAGAGCTAGCAAGGACTAAAGTGCTATGGATTTCCAGATACCGTGTAGTGTCTGCCCATGTTGCTTCTCAAGACCCTTTAAAGTTTCAGCAGCAGGTCTGGGCTTCACAGTTTTCCCTCCAGAAGGAAAAACATGTCCAAAAACCAGAGGCCAGCTTTTTTGCTTGGTCTCCTAGTGCCACATTCCTGGGTATGGCCTGAAATGACATGGTGGCCCTGCAGCGCTGCCTGTAATTGCCACTCTGCTTCCTACCAAAATAGCACCTTGCTGTTCCTGTGCAGCCCTGGGTAGTGAGTGCTCTGCTGGGAAATGCCACGTCATCGATATAATTGTGTTTCTGGCTTGCAGCACCGGATCGGAGAAACTCCTTGACCAATGGAGACTCAGGACTGCATTCGTCCCCTCCTCAGAAGAGCCTGCCGGACCTCCCCCCTCCAAAGGTGTGTTTTGCAAATCCTTTGCTTTTCACTGCCTAGCCTTCAGCCTGGGGATCTGAACCCCTGCAGCCTTTGCTTTTGTTACGTACTGTGTAGCATGGGTAAATGGAGAGACCTCTGCCTGTGTATTTTAGTGAGACAAATAGTCCTGGTGAGCTTTATTTAAAAAAAAAAAAAAATTAACTAGGGGCTCCCTGTTGTACGGGTTTCCAGCTACATGTTTGGTCTTTACTAATGCTGCAGGTCAGTGTGTAGCTGGTGAACCCCTGCAGCCTTTGCTTTTGTTACGTACTGTGTAGCATGGGTAAATGGAGAGACCTCTGCCTGTGTATTTTAGTGAGACAAATAGTCCTGGTGAGCTTTATTTAAAAAAAAAAAAAATTAACTAGGGGCTCCCTGTTGTACGGGTTTCCAGCTACATGTTTGGTCTTTACTAATGCTGCAGGTCAGTGTGCAGCTGGTGGCCCGGGCAGGGTGGCCATGCTCTGGGGTGGCTGGGCATCCAGAAACCCCTGTGGCTCCCAACTTGTGCACAGAGGGAGCAGGCAGCTGTGGGAGCCTTGGGCTTCCCATGCGTGTGCAGGAGCACCGTGCACAACAGGCTGTGTTCCCTGCCAGGGAAACCCACACCCATTGCATGGCAACCCAGGCTCAAAGAATGAAGAGAATTGAGGTTTTCCAAAGAAGTGAAGGTGAGGTTGGCTTTCAGCTGTTGCTTTGGAAATCTCCAAGTTGTAAAGCAGCTGTGCCTGGGCTGCTAGCATGAACTTACAAAAGTCAGAAATCCTTCAGCTGCGAGGCGGTGGGGCGATCCCTGGGCAGTGCCAGGATCTCCCTCACCGGCAGAGCCTTGCTAACGGTTTGACCGTTGGCAGAGAAGATCAGGTTTGCTTCAGCTGAAGCGCCTGGTGTTGTCTGTGCATTGGGCAAACATGCCGGGCATTACGCTGGTTGTACAGCCCACAGATCTGTGAGGAGGAGTCGCCAGTACTGTAGATTTTTCTATAGGGCAGCTATAAATTTGGTCAGGGTCCAGTTCAACACCATCAGCTTTCAGTGGGATTTTGTCTCTATGCCAGCAAGCCAGCCTGGCTGTCCTCGAGAGACGCAGGTCATCCTCAAGACCCCAGATGTTGCTGTTCGGTAGTTGATCCGACGTGGGAATCGCTGTAGCTGGGATTTCGAGATGTGAAAGGAAAGGAGAGCAGGGAGTGTGCATGGGGAGGAGAGAGAGGCATGGAGGAGGATGGGGTGGTGCATCCATCAACGATAGAGGCGGATCTCCTTTCCCAGGAAGGAGGATGCGGGGTAAGGCCCCAGGACTTCTGCCCAGGGGGCTGTGTAGCTCAGCTGGAGTTAGCTGGAGGAGCTGGGAAAATGAGGGGGTAGGACGGGATGCAGCCGGCAAACCCTCGGACGCAGTGCAATTGCCTGCTGGGAGCTGCTCCAGCCCCGGGGGGGGCTCTGTCCACGCAGCTGGCCAGGGATAGTTGCCTGAGAGCAGTGATCAGAGCAGGAATCACTGTTTTGCTTTGGGTTTCTCAAAGCCGGAGGGTGTGGTGGCTGTGGGAGGGAGGTGGGCAGGAGGATGGTGGTGCAGTGGAATGAAGCCATGACCGGGGAAGCAGCAGCTGGGTGTCCCCAAGGCATCTCTGCTTGTGCTTGGTGGAGCCCAGCTTTCTGATAGGGCAATCAGGAAGTTAAATGAGGGAATTAGAAAAAAACAGTCTTGGATGTTAGCTAAGAAGGGTACCTAAGCCATCCATCTTCTCCCAGGCCTGTGCTGGGAACTACCTTCTCCCACCTGCTTACTACTGGAGCTAACCTCCTTTGGATAAAGCAATCAAGTACCTCCTCACTGTGAGCATCTGAGTATCGGTGAGCTGTTGGCAGCAAAGATATCTGAGCGTACTTCAAAGAGTGGGGCTGGGGAGGGCTTTAATGTGGTCCCAGTTAGTGTGTGGAAATTGCTGCTGTGGAGAAATAAATCTTCCCTGTCTGTGTTTGCTGCTCCTGGTGCGGGCAGGAGCCATGGCCACCTGGGTGGTGGAGGAGAGAGCACAACTCCTTACACAGAAACGGGGAGGTTAGGAGAGGACCTCAGAATATATCTATTTTAGCTCTGTGGAGTTTTCTGTGGTTTGGTGATGTTAAGGCATGCTGTGGTGTTGCTCTACACTTGCCTTTTGAGGCACAGGAGAAATTTTGTGATAAAGCTCTGCACAGCGGATTGTCCCTGGTATTTACTGACACCAGCAGTCAATGGGCAACCCAACAGGGGTGGCCCAGCTGGATCCCACTAATTTCTTTGGATTTGACCCAAAGCAACCTTTAAACAATGAGTCCCGCGGGCTGTGGCTCAGACATTGGTGACCTTTCATCTGCGGTAGCCCTGGCAGCTATGCTGCTTTCCACGGCCATCCACTGAGAAAGTCATAGGGTGCGGACATGGATGCCCAAGATGGTTTTATTTGCATGCTCCGTTGTACCATAATGCAACAGGCAAATGTTCTGTGAGGACTAGCCTGGGTTAGATAACGCAGCATGTACTCTTTGACTTAAGCTAGAGACAAAACAACTCCATGCCTTTAGGGAAAAAGAAGAGGAAAAAAATAACTTCTAGGGCAGCTGAGGTGCAGTCCCACCTAGTCCCTGTTGGCTTCCATTGTCTGCAGGAAACAAAACAGAGCAGTCCCTTCCCCCCCACACCTCCTTCCCTGACACTTGTGGGACGGTGTCTAATAAACCCACAGTGTTTCTTTGTGTAGGCAATTTGTTTATGGTCATAGCACAATGTGAGCTGGCTGCATGCAGGAGGCCACCACAGATGGCAATTGCAGACACATTCCCTGGCCAGGGAAGGGATTAGGTAAAGCTTTGGAGTTGCCTGGGTTTGGTTTTATTTCTTTAATTTAACACATTAGGACAAGTTCCTAAACCTTTAAGTATTTGGAGGCAAGTGTTTTCCGGCAGCATGGCTGGAAAGCAAGCTCAGAGTCTGCTCACAGCATCTGGCAGACCCACGTAGGAAGGAGTTTTCGTCCAAGACACTTGAGAATTCTGCGAAGTTGGCAGAGCCGCGTGCAGCTCGCCCATGTGGGAGCAGAAGTGCGTGATTTTGGCCGGTGTGGTCAGGGTACCTAGCTCCCACAGGCTCAGCAGCATCCCCCTTTGTGGGCAGTTGCCGGCCAGAACATTTTTTCCTTCAAAGCTTACTTTCTACTTCTGTGCAGCAGTACCTGTTGGTGGAAATATCCAGGGTAGCATGGACAGCTTTGAACCTGCATTTGATGATGCTGGCATGACCTGCAAAAGGGACTGATCCTGCCTTAGACGGCTTTGCAGTGCTGGTGCCCAGCTGGTCCCCCTTCTCCAGGCCACCAGGAGCAATCGTGTGGGCTGGCATGAAGGACTGTGCATGATCCATGACCTTCAACATTGCTGTCTCTGCAGAGAGAGACCTGCTCTTCTGCCTGTCCTCCTGGGAAGAGTGGGGCTTTAGCCCTGCACACGCTGAACATCCTATCCAGGATTTGTGCAGGTCTCAGTCAGAAGCCAGTTGAAGCAGTGTGAGCCAGAGCATACCATTGTCAGATGACCGGGGATGGTTTGACCTGGGCAAGGAGGGGGGACACCTCACTTGGGGAGTGGGGGACACTAGTGTCAGGTCATGATGGGAGAT